CCTTACCTTCACAACTACAAAGGAGGAGAGAGGAATTTATTACTTTCTCCTTCAGGAAGTTGTTATATTCCTTATTTTCTTGAAATTGTTATAAGTAATTCATCATTTCTTCTTTAGTCTAGAGCATGGCTGGAGTTAAATTATATGCTATCCTATGGAGCAGCTGAGCCCTCTCTCCTTTTACTTCACAAGTTCAAGCTGCTCGAAATTTTTCTACCATGTCATGTAAGTATTTTTGTCCTTTCCATTGTTTGCCATTTCACTAGTAAACCTTAGATCTGGGATCTCTTAAGTCTTAATTTCTGTGTTATAGGCAATGTACCTTGCTAAACAGGCAGGAAAACAACCTGGCCTACGTTCCTCAATGCTTATGGTAAGTTAATTTCCTATTATAGCATATAGTGGCCTCTATCATTACTAATACTGTATTTCTGTTCTCTCTCTTCCTGTGCTAGCTAAAAAACCAACTTTCTCATGAGCTTACACTTTTCTTGAATCCCTAGTTTATTTATCCTTTTTTTTTTTTTGCCTCAGTGCTTTTCCCGTTGATCCTCTTCTGTTATCAATTTACTTTTTCATTTTTTCAGAGATTATTTTTCAATTTAGATCAGCTGATTACGTGTGATCGGCCTTGTGACTCTACTTTGTGGTGAGTCATTTTATTGTTTGTTGCACCAGAATTTACTGGTACCATATATTTCTTCTTTTATGGAACTATGCTCCTACTGGTGGGTATGGGGTGGGAGTTGATACACATAGTTTCCTGCCTCCCATCATTTTGTTGTTTCATTTAGGTAACAAGAAGGCTTGGGTTGGGTTTGGGCGGTTGTAAAACAGTGGGTTACAACCAATTTGTTGTATAACGTTGTGAACAGCTTATGTAAAGAGTGAATGGTCCAGCAAGACAACCTGACTCTGATTCTCTTATGTTATTGTTTTAGAACTATTTAAAGCTTATCTCTGATTATGGCGGACACACTTACAACTTCATTATGTACTAGAGGATTTATCTCCTTATTTCATGTACATAGAACAATATCACTACTTAGTCTGACTCAGAACAAAGGACAATTTTGCAATTATGCTACTCATCAATGTCATCATTGCAGGCAAAGCTCTTAGCAACTTTCTTTTCCTAACATAATTTAGATGATTTCACAAAGAAATCTCACTCAACCTGTTGTTGATCCTCTTGCCATGACCCCATATGACATAGTAAATGACTAAGTTTTTGTGAGTACAATTGCAATTTCGCCCAACTTTCGTGCAGTCTGTTTTAAAATTGATCACCCAACATGCTAGTGCTGATTTAAGTTTGTTGTTACCCCCACACAATCATATCTAAGGTTTTGAAGTTGATCAAGGGCCCAGATAAGTTTGGAATTATGGAGCATGCTAATCACCGAGGACATTTGAAATTAAATTTGCGCATGTAAAACTGATAAGAATAATGGATCTGCTTGATTGAATATGTAACTGGAATTATCATTCAGCAACTCATTCTGTTGTTGTTAGTTGGTCTAATATTTCTGGGGATCAATACCCCATTTATTTAGCATGATTCCTCATGTATCACTGTACCAAATGATATAAAACTTCTACTAGCGTAGTCTTTGACTGCATATGGATTAATATTTTAATTATTGTCCTTTTATTTTTCTGTTTTGACGATGCCTACAAATTATGTCTAATTATCTTTTCTGGTTCAGAGACTGCTTGCTTAATCTTTTCATACTTTCATTCGTGTATGGGACAGGGTTGCGCTATTGGTATTTCACCTTGCATTGATTTATAATCCTCAACAAGCAGTTGTGGTTTTGACTCTGGCTTCAGTTCTTTATCATGGAAAGTGGAAGGATAGTATTAAATTTGCTAGAGAACACGCTCCTGACACATGTATTTATGCACCAGAAGTTTTAAACACTTCCGATTTCTTATCAGATAATGAAATTGCTGAAAGAGTCACGCAATTTGTAGTGCAAGTGCAAAATTCTGTAGATCTTTTAGTTGACACAGATTGCCTTTTGAAAGCAATGGCCAGTTTCCCAGAGTTTACATGCTCAGGTCTGGTAAGTAAATAAGTTTTGATTACTGATGCTTCTTCTGTGATTATTCTGCCCTTACCTGGTATAAAGATGGCTTGTGGTAGCTAGAATGGATACAGATGCTTAATCAGGCATCCGTAGTTATGAAATTGTATGATATCCTTGTTACCTTTCAGGATTAATTCATATGACCCTTTAATCCCCAGTCCTTAGCGTGGTCTCTTTTCCCTCTTTTCGTATCACTTAGATGTACTATTATGATTATTTGTAAGCCTAGTTTATCTATTTCAATACTTTTGAATAAAACCTCTGATGTGATTATTTTATGCAATTCCTCAAAAAGGAACTAGTCTCCATCCCATTTTCAGTAGACATCCACACAAAAAATAATAATAATAAATAAAATAAAAATTGTCTTGAGACTGCAATTTTCTTGTCTAGTCTTCATTTTCAATGGATTGTTTGAATTCTGCTGGCATTCAAATCTATCAATTATAATGAAAAAGCAGTGCTCGACAAATCTGTTATCATGACATACAAGGTTAAGGTCCATCTTTCCAAATTTATGCTATTTCGCCTTACATACTCTTCAGGAACTAAATTCATTTATCTTATTCCATAAATGAAGAACTGTATCAGTTTATATCAATCATTGCTATTCTGGGACTCCCCGAATAAGACTTCAAGATGCCTTTTGCAGTTTGTTACTTCCTAACGTTTTCTTGTTTGCCTTATGAGTTGGTGGGGTTGCCTACTGTTACCACCTGAAAGTTGGGTGTGGGTGAGCTATGCTGCAGTCGTATCTGTCTGAGGGGATGAGTAAAAAATTGTAATTGCATCAGTGCAGGCTACTAACATGGCACTTTATACTCATTATTTATAAATCAGTCTCATTTGTGAATTTGATGTACGCGAAAATACTTTATATTTCAGGTTTTCATATCCAGGAAAATGGGGCAACATGTCGAGCATGTTTTTAAGATCCTCACAAAAGATATTACATCTTCGAAGACAGACAGAAATAGCCTGGAGATTGATTACCGCTTGCTTGGAGAGGGAAACGTGCGTGAGATTAGGTTTGTCCTGGGCAAAATTATACTGGACACTCTGGTTTGTGGGGATGACAAAGACATAGAAGTATCCAAACGGATAAAGTTTGATTCCCAAGCAATTGATTTTCCACAAAATATGGAGTTTGAAAGTATTCGGCAGACATCAATTTGTATTAGGAAAGGTGACTCTATAAGCAAGATTGGTAAGAAGCGAAGCTTATCATTGCCTGATAATGAGCTCCTATTGGACAATGCTAGTAAGACAAGGTATTTAGAAGGTAATAGTTATGTGGACAATTTGAGTGAAAATCAGAAGACAGTTGTGTGTAAGCAGCCCAAGAAGATGGCTGAGATTAAGCAAGATTCTATGGAAGAGAGAGATTGCCAAGGTGTAGTCGAGAAGAGTCAGGAGGTATCTGGCAAAGAAAATGTTTGTTTACCGAAGGATTGCTCAACTAATGATACTGAAAATGTGGAGAGTAGTGATTTGCATCAAGGGGCGATAAGCCAAATGCTGGGAAAGTCGCAACACAAATTGACGGCAAAGAAGCAGAAAGTGGTTGCAAATAAAGAATACCGAGAGAGTCCTGAGAAACATATAGAGTCTTTTGAGAAGGCGCACGATAAGGTTACAAAAAGGCATCACATGCCTGAAGAGAAGCATCACTTACCAAAGGAAAGAATCAAGCGACAGGGAACAGCGACGGGAAATGAAACTTCTGATTCACCTGCTTATGGGCTGGCTACCGAAGAGAAGGAAAAAGATGAGCTTGGTAAGAGTGAGAAACAAGGAAGAAGAGGCCCTAAGCTCTCTTCCCTATTCAAATGAGCAGCAAAGAATGGCATCTGTGCTTGCTATTCCGTTGATATGCAGGGGGATTCCTTCTTCCCTCATCGACTCACTTGTTTCATTATTGTAACTCAGAGAATACTACTTGGAAGGATCTGTGTGACAAATGGAAATGACATTTCGTATGACATTGGTGAATTCCGCATATCCTTTGCTAAAGCAACTTAAGCTAGCCATTAAATTTCTTTTGTTAAACAAATAACCAAACAGAACGGGCTTATAGAATAGATATGTAGTCCCATTTGTTTCTTCTCTTATTGTGTTCATTTTATCGGATGTAGCAGTCCTTGGGCAGATCAAAGCAGCACTTGCATTTGATTCATTCCTTGTGTTTGTACATTGTCAAGTGCTAGTTAACGTTGTAAAAATTTTATTTATTTTTTAACTGATGAAACTTCAATTTTAACAACATTTCATAGTATTCATAATTTTTATCGACTTTTAATTAAATATTACATGAATTTTTATCAAAATCTGCTAAATTTTTATGAAGAGCTTTGTCAAAAGATCCCGTAGCATATAGTATTTTTTACTCGAATTATTAGAAAATTATGTGCTAATTGTTTTCTTTGGATGAAATAGAGATTTATAATGTAACTTATAAAATCACAATATTGATAAAGATCAACTGAATGTTGTTGAGTAATATAAAAATGTGATTTGGATTTTCAAATTCAGCATATTTGTTGCCCTACCATAAAAAGTCAATGGCTGTGCTTATTCTCCAGGACGCTCCAGCCGTTGATTCTCTTCCATGTGATAAAATTTAAAAACCAACCCAAAATATTAAAAATAAAAATGAAATACTAACATAAGAACAATTCAATTCGCTTACAAATTGAATCCATAATCTCCACTCTTTACACATTGCGTCCTATTTTCTCTTTGAGAGTGGCCAAGTATTAATCATTTCTATATTATTCATTATGTGATTGTAGTTTTCTTTTTGTTGCCGGAGCATGCATAGTTCAATAATAATTCATTTGTACTAGTAGGGATCCACACTTAACCTTTACCAATTAAGTAGATTACAAAATACAAAAAACATTTCTATATGTAATTTTAATAAATGATTTTTTTTAATCAATTTAAACCCACTTCCTATAAATAAGTGGATTAAAGATAAAAATGACTTCTAAATCGAACTAGTGGAGACACTAGTTCGGGACTTGGTAGAGATTGTGGTTGGCCTTGTGGAGGGACTTGGGAGTTGGTGGGGAGAGGAGGAGGGGCTACAAAACGATCAATGTTGATTGAACCCGCAGGAGCGGGAAGAGTGATTCGAGATGTAGAGGGGATAGTAATTCTTATTTGCAACTCAAACTTCAAGACTCAATGATATTGAAGATGTGTTGAGATTATATCACTCAGAGAGGGACTTCTCTTAGGGTGTGTTTGATTGGAGGTGGAATTCCATGAAAAATGGAATTGGAATTCCACCTTCCAATTTAACCTTGTTTGATACCCATTTTTTTCTCTTAGAAATGAAATTTCACCTTTGGTGTCATATAAGCCAATTTCCATGAACTCAAGTTACTATAGCATTTTTTTTTTCGTTTTTTTAATTAATTAATTAATTAATTAATTTATTTATTTTTTTTGGCAATGGAACCAAATTCTAAAAATTATTGTAAAAAAAATATTTTCCTTTAATTGATAATTTTAATATAAAACAAGATCAAACGAACACCAAAAAATTGATGATTTTTTTTTTTTTTTTATTATTTTTTTTTTTTTTTTTTTTTTTTTTGTTAAAATGTTTATGCATTTGAATGTTATCATTATTTGCGCGCTTATATTTCAATTTTTATGGATATTGAATTTTTGATATTTTGTTGCCAATTTTATCTCTCAATTACATATGAATTTTTGTCTTTCATCGATTAATGATTATGATTTGTTGTCTAATTATTGTTTTGCGATTGAATTTTTATGAACTTTGAGACAATCCTTATTTTTCTCACAAAGAGAAATATTTTGAAATATAAATGAGTGGCAACTTTTGATATCCTATCTAAAGTTTGTGTTGTAGAAGCACCTCTCTTTATTTTTTTAAGGTAGTCTTGATGTTATGTTCATTTGATTGGAAAACTTGTATTCTAGTATTTATTGCGGCTGCCATTTGCGTCGACATTTATTAATGAAATTATTTGCTGTTTCCAAAAATGAAGAATTTTTTTCAGTTAAGTTCAAGTTTTTTAATTAATGTCGAAAGAATAAGTCTTTTTATCATGTAGAGTCTTTCTATCAAAGTTTTTATTATTTAGTCTCTCTAATTAATTTAAATAAGTCGAAATAATAAGTAGAACCCTATTAAGCAGAGTGGGGGAGAGCGCCTCGCATTCTGAGCCACCTAATAATAGTGCAAATCTCAAGCAATTATTAAACAAAAATAAGTTTAAATAGTTTGAAAGCAACGTCTCAAATGCCACGTGGCAGATGCAAACCCAGGTGACCGTTGTAGCCCGACCGTAAATTCAATGATCCAACGGCCAGAATTTACTAGCCGTTTGATTTGAAAGAAGAAAAATATGACACGTTTTCACTGGACAATTGCCCTTAAATTTCTCCACTTTATCCATTCCTCATTCATAAATCTCTTCTTCTGTTCTCTCTAAATGCTTTCGTTCTGCATTCTGGGGTTGTATAAATTGTGGGTCTGGTGAAGTTGAGGGTATTTTTGTTCAATCAACCAGGGGTCTTGTGATTGGTCTTTCAGATATCAAGAAATTCATAATGGTCGTATCTGAAGAGAACAATTCCACTCAGATTAAACCCACAAGGGCACAAGGTTCTATTTAGGAAGCTCCTTTTTTTCTTACCAATTCTATGGTTTTTTTTATTTTATTTTATTTAAAATCAGTTTCAAATTCAATGTTCTTATATGGGTTTCCTTTTTTTTTTTTTTTTGGTATTTGAAAAATATAAGGAGGGGCAGTAATCGGGGGCAGAAAGTTTGGAATGGAGCTGAGACCCAACAGAAGAGCTTTGAGTGTGATTAATCAGAATATAGTGGGAGCTCAGCCTCGTCCATATCCCTGTGTTGTAAACAAGAGAGGCTTATCGGAGTAAATCTTGACTCCCTAATTTAAAAATCCTTCATATTATTTTGTTATTTTTCCCAGTGCATTTGAATAAGAAAAATAATTGGTGTCTTACTTTTTGTTACCCAGAACAAATGGGATTTGTGATAAGAATCCTCCAATTCAAGCACATAGGCCAATCACAAGGTCTGATTTGTGAAATAATTTACTTTATCAATCGCTTCTACTTTTTGTTTTTGCTAACTGAATTTTTTTATTTATAAAGGAAATATGCTGCACAAAGGTCAACCTTGCAGCAACCTTGCCCAGAGGTATGTTAGCTCTCTTTCTCCAGAAAATTCAATTTTCCTATGAATGAATAAAGTTAATGCTGTTTTATTTTTCCTGTAATTGAAATTCTAACAGGAAGTGAAGAAGCCAAAAACATCAGTGAATGAGTTTATTGTATTGGAGGATACTCCTCTTGCAGATGTAAAGGATAATGGGGCAGTTAAAGACCAACTTGTGCCCATGTCTTTGGAACAAACAGAAATAGAAATCAGTGAAAAAAATCAAATGGTATGAATCCCTTCTCTGTACATTTCTATTTGACCTTGATTTTGTTGGAATAAATTGATAAAATTAATTAATTATAACAACTCGTAGGAGGAGGTTGAAATGGCAGACATCTTTGAAGAGACCATTACGGATATAGATAGCGATGATTCAAAGGATCCACTTGCAGTTGTTGACTATGTCGAAGATCTATATAAGTTCTACAAGAAAACAGAGGTAAGAAATCGTAATGACTGTGAGATTATTTTAGAAGAAGATTGGCTTAACACCAAAAATATCTCGAAGATCTAATATTGTCTTTCTTCAATAACATGATGTTCCCCTTAAGATTCCATGGTAATTTTTCACGAATTGGCTTAGGTGGGAACTAGGAAATGAATGTGGTTTAATATTTGGATTTTCAAATTCAGCATATTTGTTGCCCTACCATAAAAAGTCAATGGCTGTGCTTATTCTCCAGGACGCTCCAGCCGTTGATTCTCTTCCATGTGATAAAATTTAAAAACCAACCCAAAATATTAAAAATAAAAATGAAATACTAACATAAGAACAATTCAATTCGCTTACAAATTGAATCCATAATCTCCACTCTTTACACATTGCGTCCTATTTTCTCTTTGAGAGTGGCCAAGTATTAATCATTTCTATATTATTCATTATGTGATTGTAGTTTTCTTTTTGTCGCCGGAGCATGCATAGTTCAATAATAATTCATTTGTACTAGTAGGGATCCACACTTAACCTTTACCAATTAAGTAGATTACAAAATACAAAAAACATTTCTATATGTAATTTTAATAAATGATTTTTTTTAATCAATTTAAACCCACTTCCTATAAATAAGTGGATTAAAGATAAAAATGACTTCTAAATCGAACTAGTGGAGACACTAGTTCGGGACTTGGTAGAGATTGTGGTTGGCCTTGTGGAGGGACTTGGGAGTTGGTGGGGAGAGGAGGAGGGGCTACAAAACGATCAATGTTGATTGAACCCGCAGGAGCGGGAAGAGTGATTCGAGATGTAGAGGGGATAGTAATTCTTATTTGCAACTCAAACTTCAAGACTCAATGATATTGAAGATGTGTTGAGATTATATCACTCAGAGAGGGACTTCTCTTAGGGTGTGTTTGATTGGAGGTGGAATTCCATGAAAAATGGAATTGGAATTCCACCTTCCAATTTAACCTTGTTTGATACCCATTTTTTTCTCTTAGAAATGAAATTTCACCTTTGGTGTCATATAAGCCAATTTCCATGAACTCAAGTTACTATAGCATTTTTTTTTTCGTTTTTTTAATTAATTAATTAATTAATTAATTTATTTATTTTTTTTGGCAATGGAACCAAATTCTAAAAATTATTGTAAAAAAAATATTTTCCTTTAATTGATAATTTTAATATAAAACAAGATCAAACGAACACCAAAAAATTGATGATTTTTTTTTTTTTTTTTTTGGAATGGGAAAAAACTTTCAATATTTTCCACGTAAAAAATTATACCAATCAAACAGAATAATTTACAATTCCCAAAAAAATAATTTCTATACAATTCAATTCTCTAGAATTCATTTTCTAGGCAATTCAATTCCATCTTTGCAATCAAACGGACTTTTAGCACATCAATACAGCTGAATGTGGCACACTTGGCATGATCCAAAATCTTTCTTCTGACTTTACTTTTGCATTGAATGCAAACATTTTACGTGATACCTCATTATTGCCACATTTGGCTGAAGGTAGCCGTGTCGTTATGTTCCTTGAACTAGAGTGATCTACTAACTTCTTTTATTTTTCAGAAATGCTAGTCAAACAGTGACTTTAGACAGGATATTAAACAGGGATTTCAAGGGCTGAGGTGAATCCTTGTTTGATATCCTATCTAAAGTTTGTGTTGTAGAAGCACCTCTCTTTATTTTTTTAAGGTAGTCTTGATGTTATGTTCATTTGATTGGAAAACTTGTATTCTAGTATTTATTGCGGCTGCCATTTGCGTCGACATTTATTAATGAAATTATTTGCTGTTTCCAAAAATGAAGAATTTTTTTCAGTTAAGTTCAAGTTTTTTAATTAATGTCGAAAGAATAAGTCTTTTTATCATGTAGAGTCTTTCTATCAAAGTTTTTATTATTTAGTCTCTCTAATTAATTTAAATAAGTCGAAATAATAAGTAGAACCCTATTAAGCAGAGTGGGGGAGAGCGCCTCGCATTCTGAGCCACCTAATAATAGTGCAAATCTCAAGCAATTATTAAACAAAAATAAGTTTAAATAGTTTGAAAGCAACGTCTCAAATGCCACGTGGCAGATGCAAACCCAGGTGACCGTTGTAGCCCGACCGTAAATTCAATGATCCAACGGCCAGAATTTACTAGCCGTTTGATTTGAAAGAAGAAAAATATGACACGTTTTCACTGGACAATTGCCCTTAAATTTCTCCACTTTATCCATTCCTCATTCATAAATCTCTTCTTCTGTTCTCTCTAAATGCTTTCGTTCTGCATTCTGGGGTTGTATAAATTGTGGGTCTGGTGAAGTTGAGGGTATTTTTGTTCAATCAACCAGGGGTCTTGTGATTGGTCTTTCAGATATCAAGAAATTCATAATGGTCGTATCTGAAGAGAACAATTCCACTCAGATTAAACCCACAAGGGCACAAGGTTCTATTTAGGAAGCTCCTTTTTTTCTTACCAATTCTATGGTTTTTTTTTATTTTATTTTATTTAAAATCAGTTTCAAATTCAATGTTCTTATATGGGTTTCCTTTTTTTTTTTTTTTTGGTATTTGAAAAATATAAGGAGGGGCAGTAATCGGGGGCAGAAAGTTTGGAATGGAGCTGAGACCCAACAGAAGAGCTTTGAGTGTGATTAATCAGAATATAGTGGGAGCTCAGCCTCGTCCATATCCCTGTGTTGTAAACAAGAGAGGCTTATCGGAGTAAATCTTGACTCCCTAATTTAAAAATCCTTCATATTATTTTGTTATTTTTCCCAGTGCATTTGAATAAGAAAAATAATTGGTGTCTTACTTTTTGTTACCCAGAACAAATGGGATTTGTGATAAGAATCCTCCAATTCAAGCACATAGGCCAATCACAAGGTCTGATTTGTGAAATAATTTACTTTATCAATCGCTTCTACTTTTTGTTTTTGCTAACTGAATTTTTTGATTTATAAAGGAAATATGCTGCACAAAGGTCAACCTTGCAGCAACCTTGCCCAGAGGTATGTTAGCTCTCTTTCTCCAGAAAATTCAATTTTCCTATGAATGAATAAAGTTAATGCTGTTTTATTTTTCCTGTAATTGAAATTCTAACAGGAAGTGAAGAAGCCAAAAACATCAGTGAATGAGTTTATTGTATTGGAGGATACTCCTCTTGCAGATGTAAAGGATAATGGGGCAGTTAACCATCTTTGCAATCAAACGGACTTTTAGCACATCAATACAGCTGAATGTGGCACACTTGGCATGATCCAAAATCTGTCTTCTGACTTTACTTTTGCATTGAATGCAAACATTTTACGTGATACCTCATTATTGCCACATTTGGCTGAAGGTAGCCGTGTCCAACTTGTGCCCATGTCTTTGGAACAAACAGAAATAGAAATCAGTGAAAAAAATCAAATGGTATGAATCCCTTCTCTGTACATTTCTATTTGACCTTGATTTTGTTGGAATAAATTGATAAAATTAATTAATTATAACAACTCGTAGGAGGAGGTTGAAATGGCAGACATCTTTGAAGAGACCATTACGGATATAGATAGCGATGATTCAAAGGATCCACTTGCAGTTGTTGACTATGTCGAAGATCTATATAAGTTCTACAAGAAAACAGAGGTAAGAAATCGTAATGACTGTGAGATTATTTTAGAAGAAGATTGGCTTAACACCAAAAATATCTCGAAGATCTAATATTGTCTTTCTTCAATAACATGATGTTCCCCTTAAGATTCCATGGTAATTTTTCACGAATTGGCTTAGGTGGGAACTAGGAAATCAATGTGGTTTAATAACTTACAAAATGTACTTAAAATTGTCAAAGCTACATCGAAGATCGTCTCTCATTATCATAAAAAAATTGAGAGGTGATATCTTAAATGTGGTCAGGGGCGGACCCACGTGGGGTCAAATGACCCCACGAAATTTTGCCCCTTTTTTTTTATTTTTACAATCTACTTTGATGTACTTGTCAGGATGTCAAATGAAGTCAAAATATTGCATTTTTAATACTATTTCGAAGTGCTATGAACTAGTTTTTTATTCATTAATGGCATACGAATTGACCATAGCAAAAGTTATGACATGTTAAAGTAGGGTGTTTGAAAACTAATATTTGGAAAATTTCGATAATATCTTAACTTTAAAAATTTGTTTACGATCATGTGCTATCTGAATCCACAAATCGTCTATGCCATGTAAATGTTTGTTTCGAAAACTACATCGTTTTCATATCGAATGGTCCAAACGGATATCGAAAATAGTTAAATATGTATCAAACGTACGCCTCAAAAAAGACGTCTAACTCGTTTTCTCTTTTAAAAAATTCAATTAATTATTATTTTTGTACGATAAATTTTTCAATATAATTTATATTGTTTCATTAGGAAGGCTTACATGAAATATGACGTAAATTTTTTATGGTCGTTACAGATTAAATGCAATTTGAATTACTTTCGAATTATATTTGCTTTAAATTTGAATTTCATTTACTTCCTGAACTAAACTTGAATTTTCTTTTAATTTATTTACTTTATCAATCGCTTCTACTTTTTGTTTTTGCTAACTGAATTTTTTGATTTATAAAGGAAATATGCTGCACAAAGGTCAACCTTGCAGCAACCTTGCCCAGAGGTATGTTAGCTCTCTTTCTCCAGAAAATTCAATTTTCCTATGAATGAATAAAGTTAATGCTGTTTTATTTTTCCTGTAATTGAAATTCTAACAGGAAGTGAAGAAGCCAAAAACATCAGTGAATGAGTTTATTGTATTGGAGGATACTCCTCTTGCAGATGTAAAGGATAATGGGGCAGTTAAAGACCAACTTGTGCCCATGTCTTTGGAACAAACAGAAATAGAAATCAGTGAAAAAAATCAAATGGTATGAATCCCTTCTCTGTACATTTCTATTTGACCTTGATTTTGTTGGAATAAATTGATAAAATTAATTAATTATAACAACTCGTAGGAGGAGGTTGAAATGGCAGACATCTTTGAAGAGACCATTACGGATATAGATAGCGATGATTCAAAGGATCCACTTGCAGTTGTTGACTATGTCGAAGATCTATATAAGTTCTACAAGAAAACAGAGGTAAGAAATCGTAATGACTGTGAGATTATTTTAGAAGAAGATTGGCTTAACACCAAAAATATCTCGAAGATCTAATATTGTCTTTCTTCAATAACATGATGTTCCCCTTAAGATTCCATGGTAATTTTTCACGAATTGGCTTAGGTGGGAACTAGGAAATCAATGTGGTTTAATAACTTACAAAATGTACTTAAAATTGTCAAAGCTACATCGAAGATCGTCTCTCATTATCATAAAAAAATTGAGAGGTGATATCTTAAATGTGGTCAGGGGCGGACCCACGTGGGGTCAAATGACCCCACGAAATTTTGCCCCTTTTTTTTTATTTTTACAATCTACTTTGATGTACTTGTCAGGATGTCAAATGAAGTCAAAATATTGCATTTTTAATACTATTTCGAAGTGCTATGAACTAGTTTTTTATTCATTAATGGCATACGAATTGACCATAGCAAAAGTTATGACATGTTAAAGTAGGGTGTTTGAAAACTAATATTTGGAAAATTTCGATAATATCTTAACTTTAAAAATTTGTTTACGATCATGTGCTATCTGAATCCACAAATCGTCTATGCCATGTAAATGTTTGTTTCGAAAACTACATCGTTTTCATATCGAATGGTCCAAACGGATATCGAAAATAGTTAAATATGTATCAAACGTACGCCTCAAAAAAGACGTCTAACTCGTTTTCTCTTTTAAAAAATTCAATTAATTATTATTTTTGTACGATAAATTTTTCAATATAATTTATATTGTTTCATTAGGAAGGCTTACATGAAATATGACGTAAATTTTTTATGGTCGTTACAGATTAAATGCAATTTGAATTACTTTCGAATTATATTTGCTTTAAATTTGAATTTCATTTACTTCCTGAACTAAACTTGAATTTTCTTTTAATTTATTTAATTTCTATATTCAATTTAATTTACTCAATGTTAGTTCAGCATTTGCCAATAAAATGATAAACAAAACTATACAAGTAGCAAAATTTATTTAATAATATTAATAATGATGTAATTATACGACGTTTTCAAAGTGTCAAAATACATATAAACTTATTTTCATTGATATTATGTTGTCTATAAAAAAAAATTATTTTTAAAATTTTGACCCCACAATACTAAAGGTCTGGGTCCGCCCTTAAATGTGGTTGAAGATTTTAGGTAGAAATTCCAAATCTTGGCCAATATATAGGGCCGTTTGTACAATTTGAGTTCAGAAAACTTGTATTGTTGAGAACTGAGGTTTGGATGGTGAAAGTACAATCTCATGCACAGTTTGAATTTTGAACTCATTTAACAAAAAAAAAAAAAGTTTATTTTTCGGATTTCTTTGTATGGGGGGCTCTTTAAGAATGTTGAACATAACGAACCTGAAATCCACCATCATTTATTGGGTAACAATTCAAATGGGTTGTTTTACTGTAAATGCACAATTACTAAATGACATTAACATGAACAAAAGTAGAAAATCATGTACTTTAGGGCATTTATTTAATGTAATGGTAAGATGTCAAAACGAGGCATTATTATAAAAAAGAGCTTAATTGTCCTGAATCCATCGTTTAATGTGGAACCATTCATTACAAGGCAAACTTAAAATAGATATGTTATACAGTGCATATGTACATACGTAACACTCACAAAAATGTTGATAATCGTCGTGCATGACAGTATGATTCACTTGATGAAATGATAAGATGTATAAATTTGCCTTGTTTAAGACCGAAACAATTGCTTTATGCAGAGTTGTAGCTGTGTTTCCCCAGGATATATGGCTCAACAATTTGACATCAACGAGAGGATGAGGGCCATTCTCATTGACTGGCTCATAGAGGTATACAGGATGTTATTGACTGGCTCATTGAGGTATACAATTTATAAAGTAGAAATACCTGTATTGATGATTACTTTTTGTCTTTCTAATGGTACAGGTACACCACAAATTTGAACTTAGGGAAGAAACATTGTTTCTAACTGTGAATTTGATAGATCGATTTTTAGCAAAGCAAACTGTGGTGAGAAAGAAGCTGCAGCTAGTTGGTCTGGTTGCCATGCTATTGGCATGCAAATATGAGGAAGTTTCTGTTCCGGTTCTAGATGATCTGGTTTTAATTTCGGACAAAGCTTACACAAGAAAAGAAGTCCTTGACATGGTATTCTACGCTAATTGAATTGAGATCTCGTTCACAATCAACCAAAGTGGTTTGTTCATGTTACTGTACGTTGAAGCTAATTCACACTCTCTTTGTGCAGGAGAAGTTGATGCTTAACACTTTGCAGTATAATTTGTCTGTTCCAACTGCATATGTTTTTATTAGAAGATTTCTCAAGGCTGCTCAGTTTGATAGAAAGGTTGGTACTTGCAGTTTATGTTTTGTGACTACCTATTTTCTTGGAGTAAATTCTTAAAAAGAATTGATTTTCTTGTGTAACAACAGCTGGAACAACTCTCGTTCTTCTTGATTGAGCTATGCCTAGTGGAGTATGAAATGCTGAGATATCCACCTTCATTTTTGGCTGCTGCTGCTATACATACAGCTCAGTGTACACTTTTTGGTGATGGGAATTGGAGTAAGACCTGTGAGAGGCATACCACCTATCCAGCAGATCAGCTGCTCGAATGCTCTAGACGTATTGTGGGCTTCCACCAAAACTCAGCAACAGGCAAACTTACTGGGGTTCATAGAAAGTACAATATATCAAAGTTTGAATATGTAGCAAAATCTGAACCCGCAAATTTTCTTCTTGTACAAACCCCACCACAGTAGATAGAGAGCCATACACTTACTCACTGTAAGTGAAGAAATTCCTTCTATTGATTCTTCTTAATTGGTGGTTTGGGAGATTGGGGGAGCAAGTTATGTTGCCGCCCATGGTCATTGAATCCGTTCACTATTTTAAACACTTTTAACTGTACTTCAGTTTTTCTATGAATAATCAAACTTACTGTTATCCTTTTTAAATGACTTAATTTTGAGCCCTCCTACATCGCCAATGCACTGTAACCCCTCCCATCGCCTCACGGATCCTCTTAAGAGGAATTAACCATAGTTCCAGACCAAATGGAACAGAGTTGTTGGAATTCACTTGGGAGTTTAAGAATTTTGAATTTTGCAAAGTAAAAAATTGTTCAAAATGGCTAAGGACCCCTTTTAAGCAGAGTTACTAAGTCGTTGGATCAAATCAAGAAAAAATTGGAATAATCCGAACCTTCGAAGATGAAAAGGCATTTTTTTTAATGGTATGCTTCGCCCTCTGTATCAATTTACGCTTTGCCCCTGTATCAGCTTCATCACAACTTAACTTCATAGCCTCGTTCCAGCAAATTGGACAATGCCTCAGCATCAGTTTTGTCCTAACAAACGAGACATCTAGGGCATTTGTCTGCAACTACAGCACAACTGCGTCAATCTTAAGATCCTTAACTTTATCATGGCTGCATTATCTATGTTCAGTCCAACTAATGAGAACATCTGCATCAACTTTATCACGACTAGCATTAGAGCCTCATCCCAATAAATGGGACCTTACAGAGAGATATAAACTTCATTACAACTGCGTTACCATTGCCACACAAGGCCCACACCATGTCAAAACGTCACTTCTTCAACCACGATGAAATTTCCTACCACACGTCTCATTCCATTCCAAGCATTATATTAATATCTATACCCAGACTTGAGAGACTGCACGTAACAAATTAACTCAGACTCGTACTCCACATCATTGGCTTACTTGGTCAAATCGAGGCTATGAAATATAGGCATTTTACCTTAACCAATGTGCTATGTAGAGGTCAGTCCTTCATGTCCGAGACAATGTGCTGATCTGCTGCTACAGCATATTTTCGAAGTGGCAAGTCTTTAAATCTACTTCTTGCTTCATCTCTTTGACCTAAGAAAATATGCCTTGACCGTTAAGCTGAGGGATGGTCTTTCATCTAATAATAACCCTTTCACCTCTTCGACTATAAAAGCTTACACTTCGTGTCATTTGAAGGTAATACAATTTTACGTTCTTACTATTATTTTGCTCATTCTTATTATTTTCTCTCTACAATTCGATGTTTGGTATACTTGTAGCTCACGTTAAATCATTTACTCGTCGGCTCGGCTCGGCTCATCAAAATCACGAGCCCACGCGAGCTGAGCGACGGCTCGCCTACAGTGCCAGCTCGTGGACAAACGAGGCTTGTGGCTCATGTGCCACATGGCGAATCGTTTAGGACTTCATAAAGTCAATTTCAAATGAATTTGCTGGTCTAAATGACGTACCCATATCCATACCAGATGCGGGGGGAAGCAAAATGTTGGGATCACTTTAAGTTGACCAACAAAGATTGGCATGGCAAAAAAAAATTGGTACCACCTATCTCAACTACCACGTGTATTCAGAGGACAATACTCAAACCGGAATGATGAAATTTGTTGTCGCCATATTGCTGACAACCAACACTTCGTCTCGTTCATGAAAAAAATCTGTAACTAAAGTACGTTGAGGTAAGTCGAAACACTCTTCGTGCTGGCAATACAATATTTCAATCATTCAAAACAACAATTAATTATAGCTTTGCAACAATATGTGATATAGCTGTAACCGCACACTATATAGACCCACTTTGGTACATGTATAAAAAAATTATTGCTTTTAAAATTATTGAATTTCCTCACAATGCTAATAATATATATAATGGTATTATTAGTATTGTTAGAGAATATAATTGCGAGACTAAAATTCGACCTTTTACTTTCGATAATGCTAGTGTATAAGGTAGTCGTCGATAAATTTTGTAAGAAGTATCAATCTGATTTCGGTGGGTATTTGTTTCATATTCATTGTTAGTGGCTTAAAAAATATAAAGGATGAATTTAAAGGATTAGGAATGCACACATTAATATATATTACGATCTCTCCTAGTAAAAAACAAATATTTGAAGATTTTTGTGCCGATGACGACTGCCAAAATATTTGTTAGCGACGTGAGCCATAAATGGAACTCTAGTGATGATGATGGTATGTTGAATGAATCCGATTAGGTTTTTAGCTTTGAAAATTAAATGATTTTTGACGATCGGGCGTTTATTATCTCACAAATTGTATGATGCTTGAACGTTCACCTTTATCTAATTGCAAGAATATTCCATAAATATAAAAAATAATCCTGATTTTAGTGAAATTATAATTGTTATGGAATTAAAGTTTAAAAAATATTGGGAAGAACTGCCGATATTATTTTCTTTAGCATGCATAAATACATAATTGATCAAATCAATAAAGCCTTTAAAACTTGATAAGTCTATAAAAATTTAGAGCAAATATTATGTGAAATGTATGATTTATATGCGGAACAAAGGGTAAGAATGTTAGTCGGGTACCCTTCCTTCGGCTAAAATTGAAGAAAATGATGTCGAAATAATGAATTTATTTCAAGGCATTAATACATTTAGATATGATGCAATTGAAATGTGTTCATCTAGTGCCATGTCGTATAATTCAAAATGATCGGCCTGTCGAATTAATTGATTACTTCAATCATAATATGTCAACAGACAAAACAATTAAAAAATGTTCAGAAGAAGTAATTGAACTCTGGCGAAAGTATAAAAGATGTTGGCGCCAATTGTTTCTACAATTGCGAAAGATCTACTGATACCTCAAGTTAGCACTATTGTTTAGGAATCTGCTTTTAGTGTAGGTAAAAGGGATTTTGATCAATGTCAGGAACCGGCTAAAAGAAGATATTTTGCAAGCATTAATGGGCGTGAAGGAGCATGTCATCAGATAAGTGATATTTGATTTAATTTCTTATTTTTTAATCGTTAAATTTAATTTTCTTTAAAAAATTGTACACATTACAACAACTTGGTCGGATACAATTTTTAACTCCGTCTACTTAAAATTGATGTAGCCGCCAAAATCAAATAAAGGAGGAGGTTTTACATTTTATCTACTTTAAAAAGAAATTGAAAAAATATGTTTTTTGTAAATGTATTTCAAAAAACAATTCGTCTTCATTAAATTATTTTTTAAAAAATGCATTAAATTATTTTTTTTAACACTTTTTTTTAAAAAAGTGTCTTCATTAAATCATTTGTGTTTTTCTGTATTTAAAAAAATTGACGAGCTTGCGAGTCAAAGCCGAGCCGAGTTCGCCCAAAATGAACGAGCCGACCTTCATGGCGAGCCGAGTTCATAAGTAGCCGGCTCGGCCAATGTTTTTTTTTCTTTTATGTTTGAATAAAGGCTTTTGGGATCCAAGTACATCGGCTGTAATTGCCTAATAAGACGAGATTCTCAACTCGTTATAATATAGCAAAATGGATGACATTATTTGCCAACTTAGATGAACTCCACAAGAAGAACGATGAGACTAGAACTCTGTTATTGAACGATGAGACAATGTTAGATCATGTTAGTATTGAAGGTGGAACAGCTCTGAAACCACCTTGCTAGAATGGAAGGCAAAACAAGAATTGAGATTTAATGGTGTAATATGAAATACGTAAGATCACAATCAATAGAATAAGATTAAAGTAAAGAAACAAAAAGAAATTAAGTAGAGGAATCGATGTTTTATTCAATAATAATATGGAGAGAATACAACTACAGTAATAAAGTTTCACAAATCTAGAAAAAGAGTCTAGTATTTATTGAAAAAAAATATATCATAAAAGTAGAGTTGTAGATGAAATAAAATACCAGAAGTTTCTTTATTTGATCTCATCAAGTCCAATACAAATTTCAACTCTCAATAGGCTTTCAAATAGAACTTTAACTAGAATTTGTCAATTAAACTTTAATAGGATTCCTCAATAGCATTCGAATTAGAATTCCTCTTGATGTACACTTCAATTAGAACTCTACAATTATTTCAACAAGAAATTCGAGTCATACCCAAATTCTAACAATCTCCACCTTGACACGAATTTCACTGCAACGTACAAAACTCCAAAATTTCCTCACCTAGAGTGGAATAAACTAAACTCTTCAACTAGAACAAAAAAAACTCTCCATTCCACAAAAACATCTTCCTCCTCTGCACGGCGTCCACAAACGAAACTTGAACATTCCCAAAGTTTCACTTAGAAATTACCGTTGACTAAATAGGGTCGAAGTACACTTTGTAACGGAAATTACTGTTAGAACTATCACCTACAACGATCCCGAAAGTATTACAAACATCATCGACACCAGCAATTACTATGTTCGCTGAAATTTGTGGCAAAGCGGAATCACCAAACTGAATTTCTACCATGGTACTAAACTAGTCCATATGTCTCTTAACTGGTTCTACGCTCCCCTGTAAGATGTACAACTAAGACTTCTCGCGTCCCTCCAGTACAATTCGAACATCCCTTCAGACATTCAAACCTAGCCAAGTGTTCTGACCGTCCCATCCTACAACCCAATCTGACTCGACTAATTCTAGCGACCCAGACATGCTGAAATTAGTCCAAATTGGAATGCATATGGTGTGAACATGCTGAATCACTCGTTAGATACTACAGCCAACATCCACTCGTCAGATACTACAGCCAACATCACATCATCGTCATCCAAAAAATGGTCTCGTCCAAAGTTAACGATTGCGTCACAGTTAAATCACCTTTAGTCTGCAACTTATCGCAATCTTTCTGAACATGTCCTTTCTTTCTGCTGTAGAAACAATAACAAATTGCTATAGTTCACCTTCGATCCCTCTCCGTCGACCACCATAAGATACCAGAGTTTCCTCATCCCTAGATGCAACTCTAACCAGATGCTTTATCTTCTCCTTTCAGTATAAAGCATCATAAGCGTATTCAATGGTGAGCATGTCACACGACTGTACATGTCCTAAAACGACGAATAAGAGGTAGGCAGTGAACACAATAGGATTAAGGCCAAATTCTCCTCATCATACT